TTTGTCAATCTTGTTGATTTTCTCCAAGAACCAGCTTTTTGATTCATTGATTCTTTGGATTGTTTTCTGTGTTTCTATTTTGTTGATTTCAGCCCTCAGTTTGATTATTTCCAGTCTTCTAGACCTCCTGGGTGAATCAGCTTCTTTTTTTTTCTAGATCTTTCAAGTGTGCTGTTAAGTCTCCAATGTGTGCTTTCTCCGCTTTCTTTAATTGGGCACTTAGTGCTATGAACTTTCCTCTTAGCACTGCTTTCATAGTGTCCCATAGGTTTGAGTATGTTGTGTCTTTGTTTTCATTAAATTCAAGGAAGAGTTTAATTTCTTTCTTTATTTCTTCCTAGACCCAGGGGTGATTTAGTAGTTGACTGTTCAGCTTCCATGAGTTTGTTGGCTTACTGGGGGAAGCATTGTTGTTGAATTCTAATTTTAGTCCATGGTGATCTGACAAGACACAGGCAGTTACTAGTATTTTTTTTTTTGTATCTGTGGAAGTTTGCTTTGTTACCGAGTATGTGGTCAATTTTTGAGAAGGTTCCATGAGCTGCAGAGAAGAAGGTATATTCTTTCCTATTTGGGTGGAGTGTTCTATAGATGTCTGTTAAGTCCATTTGATTCAATACCTCCAATAAATCTCTCAATTCTCTGTTTGGTTTCTGTCTGATTGACCTGTCCATTGGTGAGAGAGGAGTGTTGAAGTCTCCTACTATTAGTGTGTGTGGTTTGATGACTGCCTTGAGTTCTAGAAGAGTTTCTTTTACATATGTGGGTGCCTTTATATTAGGAGCATAGATATTCAGGATTGAGACTTCCTCCTGATTAATTGTTCCAGTTATGAGTATGAAATGTCCATCTCCATTTCTTCTGATTGATTTTAGTTTGAAGTCGATTTTGTTAGATATTAGAATGGCCACACCCGCTTGTTTCTTAGGTCCATTTGCTTGGAAAACCTTTTCCCAACCCTTTACTCTGAGTAGGTGTCTGTCTTTGTGGTTGAGGTGTGTTTCTTGTAAACAGCAGAATGTTGGATCCTGTTTTCGTATCCAATCTCTAAGTCTGTGCCTCTTTATAGGTGAATTGAGTCCATTGATATTAAGTGATATTAATGACCAGTGGTTGTTGACTCCGGTCATTTTTTTTTTTTTTAGGTAGTAGAGTGTATGTGTTTTTCTTCTTTGATTTGTGCTTGTGAATGGTCGCTAGATGTTCGAGTTATTGTAGGCCGTGTTGGGAATGTTGGATTCCTTCGGTAGTGATTTTCCTTCTAATATTCTCTGTAAGGCTGGATTAGTAGCTACGTATTGTTTAAATTTGTTTTTATCCTGGAATATTTTGTTTTCTCCGTTGATAGTGAACAATAGCTTGGCTGGGTATAGTAGTCTGGGTTTGCATCCATGGTCTCTTAGTTTCTGCAGTACCTCTATCCAGGATCTTCTGGCTTTCATGGTTTCCATAGAGAAATCCGGTGTAAGCCTGATAGGTTTACCTTTATAAGTTACTTGACCTTTTTCCTTTGCAGCTCTTAAAATTTTTTCTTTAATATTTATGTTTTGTGTTTTGATTATTATATGGCGAGGGGATGTTTTTTTCTGATCCAGTCTATTCGGTGTTCTGTATGCTTCTTGAACCTTCATAGGAATATCGTTCTTTAGGTTGGGAAAGTTTTCTTCTATAATTTTGTTGAATATATTTTCTGGTCCTTTGATCTGCAGTTCTTCTCCTTCTTCAATCCCTATTCTTCTCAGATTTGGTGTTTTTATTGTGTCCCATATTTCCTGAATGTTTTGTGAAGAGAATTTGTTGGATTTGCCGTTTTCTTTGACCAGAGCATTTATTTTCTCTATGGTATCTTCAGAATCTGAGATTCTTTCTTCTGTCTCTTGTATTCTATTGGTTATGCTTGATTCTGTAGTCTCCGTTCATTTACCTAGGTTTTCCATATCCAGTCGGTTCTCGGTTTGTGTTTTCTTCCTTGCCTCCATTTCAGTTTTCAATTCTTGGACTGTTTCCTTTACTTGTTTGATTGTTTTTTCTTGGTTTCTCAGGGTCTCATTCACGGATTTACTTATTTCTTCAAACTTTTTGTTATATTTCTCATCTAATTCTATACTCATTTCTTCAAACTTTTTGTTATATTTCTCATCCAGTTCTTTAAGGGAGTTATTCATATCCTGTTTAAGGGACTCTATTACTTTCATAATGGCACTTTTTTCCACTTCTTCTGGGTTAAGGTGTTCAAGTCCTTCTGTTGTAGGGTCCTTGGGATCTGGTGTTTTCATGTTGTTTTTCAGATTGTTGGATGAGGTCCTGCCTTGGCGTCTGCCCATCTCTTACTTCAAATGTTCTCTATTGGAACTTCTGTTACCGGGTCAGGTTCCCTTCTTGGGCAGGGACTTCATTGACAGAATGCCCACCTTTCCTCAGGCAGGCTATTGAAGCACAGGCACTCCCTCTTTCCGGGATCTGCTTACAATGCAGGCCCAGCTCGCAAGGCAGCTGAGCTGGGCAAATTTTATGGCCCCAGGGGGAAGGGAGAAATATAGGAATTCGTACCTGGATGGGAGCTGGGATGGCAGGCGGGAGGGGGTAGCCAGCACTGCAGGGCGACCTGGGCGTCTATGGGGTCGGGGAACGCCCAAGCTCCTCCTCACCGGGACCCTGCCCCAGCCCAAAGGAAACTCACCCCTCAGATGGCCCTCTGCTAGAAGTCAGGGCCCCTGCTGGTCAGGAATGTGGCTGAGCTGGCCCCTGGTCCACCTGTCCTCAGAGAGGCCTTTAAGACCCAGCAACTGCCTCCAACCGGGATGTGCCTGCAGCCCAGGCCCAGCTTGCAAGGCAGCTGAGCTGGGGAAATTTTATGGCCCCAGGGGGAAGGGAGAAATATAGGAATTCGTACCTGGATGGGAGCTGGGATGGCAGGCGGGAGGGGGTAGCCAGCACTGCCTGACTCTGCTTTCTTCCTCTCAGAATTCAGTTCCATCTTCCCCACCTACCTAAGTTTTGCCCCTATCAGGCCAAGGCAATTTCTTTATTCTTTAACCAATACAAGCAACACTTAGAAAGAATTAAGGACTTGTAGAAATCTTTCTTATAACTGTCATTTCTTTTTTAAAACTTAATAGTTTAGGTTAGCAAACAGAGTAATTGACTTCATCATTATGTCTTCATACATCTGCCATATTTTGTTCCCATTCATTTACTGCCCTTGTACCCACTGTCCACCCTGTTCTGTCATCCCCTGAGTTAGTAACCCTTCTCCTCCTCATTATTATATGTAATACATATAATAATTCCTATTCATTATCAATACATATAATAGTTGTTATTATATGTATTCTATTATTCTCTCTGTGTCCCCATTTCTTTACAATCTCTTCCTTCCCTCCCAAGATGCCCTTTCTAGTATCATGAGCTATGACAAACATGTACAAACTTATAAATACACATGCACATACACATCACATATAATTTTAATTAAGTTCTGTATAAAGAGAAAACATGACAGACTCAGAAAGACACATGGCTTCCATTTCTTTCTTTCTTTCTGTGTGTGTGTGTGTGTGTTTCTGGTGTATGCATGTGAGTATGTAGATTCAGATGCTGCGTGTGTATATGTAAGGCCAGAGAAAAACATTGGGCATTTTCCTCTATTGTTCTCCACCTTAGTGTCTTGAGATGGGCCTCTCATGGAATCTCAATCAATTTCATTGATGTTTAGACTAGGATGGCTAGCAAGTGAACACCAGGGATCCATTGTCAACAATACAATGCTGGGGTTACAGGAAGGCACAGCCAAGCCTAAACTTTTTTTCCATGGTTTTTTGAGATTTAAGATCAGTTCTGCATAAATGCATAGCAAGTGCTTTTAAATACTAAGAAAGACATCTTAATGATCCCAGACATCCATTTCTAGTAGGAAGCATGGATTTTAATTTTGTTAGCACTTTCCAGTTGGCTCAATACCAGAGTGTTTAAGCTTCTTGAAGAAAATCCTGTGAGGAACATTCCATAAGGAAAGTAATGGGCTAGCAGTTCCCAAGAAATTCTCCCAAGGATGATAAGGAAAGGAAAAGGAGTGGAGAGACAAAGAAGGATTGCATGTGATCTACTGACATATAAGTGGCTTCTAGAGTCCCCTTTTATGCTGTTCTGCTATGAATAAGGGCCAGTCTCCACCAATGTAGTCATTATAACTAATTTTCAACTAACTACCATATTGAAATGATTGGGCTGTTTTGAGTTTTTTTTCTGAGCAGCCACCTTCTCAAGCATGAGCATGGACTTGTTAGGTGTTTCATTCAGTAAAGTGCCTGTCACTCAAGCATAAGGACCTAAATTCAGATATCTCACACTCATGTGAGGGTCTGGTGTTACAAGTCTGAAATCTCTGCACTTGGGGAGGAAGAAAGGTAGAGACTGGTCACTCTACAGAGCTCATTGCTTAGTCAGTCTACATAAATGGATAAATTTCAAGTTTACTGAAACAGCTTGTGTCAGAAAAATAAGATAAATTTATGGGAATTCTAAGCCATCTTGGCTTACATAACAAATTCATGGCCAACCAGGTCTACACACTGAGGTACTAAGGTCTTATCTCAATGGTGATGATATGATGATGATGATGATCCAAGGAAATAACTAGCACCAACCTCTGGCCTCTGCACAACACACACACATACACACATGCACACACACACACATACACACACACACGTGCACAAACAACAACATGGCAGATAACTTGCAAGGATTGACTCCTGTCATGTTCATTCACCACATTACCAAACGTTTTCTTGATAGATATTCAATCATGAGACAACATATATATGAAATACACACAACTACATAATACCATCCTGCAATTGTTTCCTCATCTAAACTGTACCTAACAAATTCTTTGTAAAAGGAGGGGGATGGGGAGGGAGACAAAAGGAGGCAGGATTAGTCACACTGACTTTTGACTTTTTATCTTCATCTAAATCGAGGCTTCTGTTGCTTTGCAGAATAGATATGTTGACTATTTTGAAAAACTGAAAATTAGCTACCAATGGACTCTCCCTCCAAGAAAAATACTTGTGATAAAAAGATTTATTATTTATTCTATTCATGGTAAGTACTTTATTTGAAACTGAAGGGTTGGGGAGAAGGACCAGTTTTTTTTTCATGTTTGGAGATTGTCTATTTACAATGTCTCTATAGTTGTCCATTGACCATGTGACAGCCTGTTGATAACTCCTAAGTATCCTGCTCATCCCCTTTTCTTCACTAGGTGGTGTGGGGGTTGGAGAAGTTATTCCTTGTCCTCTTTCATTGCTTTTTAGCTTAGAGTAGATTTTGGGCCCACACTTTAGTAGAGGGGCAGGGAAATAAGACCCATACTCATCTTTAGTTCAGGGTCTATCTGCAAGATGAAACTCTTTTTCTCATCACCTGATCTCTTCTCTTATCCCATCCCCTCCTACTACAACCTTCATTGGCATCTCTGTTGTGATGCCATAAATACCCAGGCAGCAAATGTTTCATTTATTCTCATATAACTGATAAGGCTTACATTAGACAAGGCTTATTCCAGTGTCTCCTTCCCTTTAAAAGTTCTTGAGTATATTCTGCAGTCTCTTATAATCTGCAGTTCTAAGTCTTAGTGTTAATCACCTCCTACATAAAGTGAAACATATATGTGGTGCCAAGGCTGAGATCATTGGAAATATGGTGTGGAAAGAGTATGAGAGTGGATGACCACAAGGAAACAATGCATTCCAAGCACAATGGGGAAGCTGCACATATGACCTTCCAGTGTTGTGGCAGAATGCACAAGATTAGTGCAAGCCCAAGTAAGACCAAATCCCAGCAGAAGTAAATTTTTACTTTGTAGAAAATTGATAATTACAAATAATCTTTCCAAAGAAATGTAAGTTAGCTGTGTCCAGTAGCTTGCTCTTACCTGTAAGTTCAGTCATTTCTTGTCTGCCTGTTCATGTGTGATACTTTGTAAAACCTATAACATTGTACTTCTTCTCTTGTCAGTTAATTAAACCCAAATTTTGGTAGAATCCAAGGCAATGATATATGAAATTTTTTTCTGTAAAACAGAAAAGGTTAACAGTGTTCACCTTTATGTGGGAAACAAATATTCACAATTGATTATGTTAAAAACAAAAAGCAAATCAAGTTAATTTGCCTAGTTTTAATACAAAGAAAGGTGCTTAGTCTTACAACAACTTGATATGTCATGTTTTGTTGATATCCTTTGAAGATATATCCTTTCTGAATAGAAATAGAGGAGTAGTGGATGGGGTGGGGCAGAGGGGAGGTGTGGGATGAGAGACTGGGAGAAGAGAAGAGAGGGGAAATGTGTGTGTGTGTGTGTGTGTGTGTGTGTGTGTATGTGCAAGTATGTGTGCATGCATGTGCAAAGAATGGAAAAATGGTTTAGGGGTTAAGAGCACTGACTGTTCTTCCAGAGGATCTATGTTCACCTCCCAGAAACCACATGGCAAACCACAACTGTCTGTAATTCCAGCTTCAGAGGACCTGATACCCATAGTAAAACACTGTGCACAAAAATTAATTAATTAAAAATTAATTAATAATTAATTAAAAATTCCCATCATCTAAAAATGTAAACAGATAATATTAATTACAGACTTGGGGCTAAGGAATAAAACAGGTGAAGGACGGGTAAGACAGATGCTTCACTTTATAGGATTTTTGTTTATTTATTTTATTTCGTGTTTTTAAATCATTAAGGTCTACTTATACAGTTTGAAATTTCTATTCATTTTTCTTGTCATGTGACTTTTGTCTTCATATAGTTCTATAATTTTTAATTTTATCATCTATAGTCATTGTGTTACATAAAACATTTCATACGAGCATATAACAGTTTTTACATTTTATTGATTTCTGGTAGACATCAGTAGAAGTTCAGTAACTGGAATGGAGCATAGGGAACTGAGGCAAGAAACCATAATTCATAATGATAATTTAGTAAGATGGTATTAACAAAACCTTAGAATATAAAGTAAACAATGTTAGATGGACCATCAAAAATGACTGTGTCTTATTAGAGTATCTGTTAAGGTACAATATGGGGGAAAGTTAAGTGGAGGTTTCCAAAACCAGGTTCTGAGGAAATGACAAAGAAAGTGGGGACCATTAGAAGTAAAAAGAGGGGCACAAGAACATTCATGTGACGTTTACACTGAGTACTAAAGAAAGCCTGAATATGGCCAGCCTGTATTTTTGTTTTGTTTTTGTTAAAAATTCAAACATTTTATTTTATTTTTTGCTTTATAAATAATACCATTCAAAATTTTCACCTCCTCCCCTCCTCCCATTTCCTTCCCATTTTTCTTCTCACCCTCCCACCTCCCTTTCCAGTTCTATGAGAAGTCAGGGTGCCCTGCCCTATGGGAAGTCAAAGGCCCTCCCCCCTCCATCCAGGCCTAGAAAGGTGTGCATCCAATCTGACTAGGAAACCAAAAAGCCAGTACATGCAGTAGAATCAAAACCCAGTGCCATTATCATTGGCTTCTCAGTCAGCCTTCATTGTCAGTCACATTCAGAGGGTCCTGTTTGAACGCATGCTTGTTCAGTCACAGTCCAGCTGGCCTTGGTGAGCTTCCCTTAGATCAATCACACTGTCTCCGTGGGTGGAGGCACCCCTCGCGGTTCTGACTTTCTCGCTCATCTTCTCCTTCTTTCTGCTCTTCATCTGGACCTTAAGAGCTCAGTCCAGTGCTCCAATGTGGGTCTCTGTCTCTATCTCCATCCATCCTGGATGAAGGTTCTATGGTGATATTCAAGATATTCATCAGTGTGGCTATATGACCTGGCCAGTTCAGGCACCCTCTCCTCTACCGTCCAAGGACCTAGCTGGGGACATCCCCGTGGACACCTGGGATCCCCTCTAGAGCCAAGTCTCTTGCCAACCTTAAAATGGCTCCCTTAATTAAGATATCTTCTTCCCTGCTCCCATATCCGCCCTTCCTCCATCTCAAACATCCCACTCCCCCAAGCTCTCCCCAATTCTCCCCTTCTCCCTTCTCTCTCCCCTTCTCCCCTTCCTCCCACCTTACCCCCATCCCATGCTCCCAACTGGGCTCAGGGTAGAACAAGAGGAATTTAGATGAGTATTTTTAAATGTCATGATTGAAACTTTAAGAAAGTTTGCAAACCACCTTCACTGTTTTTTTGTTGTTGTTTATGTGTGTGTGTGTGTGTGTGTGTTTGCTAGAAAGATGAAACAACGAATTCTAACTCTAACCTAACTTCTAAAGAAATAATTTTTTTCTCCCCCTCTCTCTAGCTGTGTAAATTCTGCTTCAGGACACAAAATTAGGTCTTTAAAGTCTTGACTTTCAAAATCAAAATCTCTACAAGATCAAACGATTAAATACGACCACATTGTTCAGTGAGATCATTGTTCTCTTCTCAGACTCTGTGTCAATAGGAGAGCTATTCTGACTTTTAACAAGTTTATATTTTTCACTTTCACTCAGGTATTGGAAAAGGTGACGGAAGTGATCTAGAAGTACAAATAGTAATGTGTCAGGAGACTATATTTTCCTGTTTTTCTTCTAAAAATTGTATGGTAAGAGAAAACACATTAACTGAAATTTCTGGTTTTATTTTTCATTTGTTGGCATGTGTATGTGGAGGAGTATAGAGATATTAACTGGTGCAGGTGCAGGTATGTGTGCATGCATGCAGAATCAAGAGGTCAACATTTGGTGCTTGCCTTTATGACTTCTCACCTTAATTTTTGAAGCTGAGTATCTCATTAATCCTGGTGCTTGCTAATTCAGCAAGACCAGGGCTCCTTCTGTCTCCACACTCCCAGTGTTAGGATTACAGAACTATCCTTTACACCCAACTTCTTGTGTATATGCTGAGGATCCCAACCCAGGTCCTCATGCTTGCACAGCAGTCACTTCACCAGTCAAGTATTTTCCCTAACCCTGGCATTTCACTGAAAACGTAGCATCAAGTCAGGCAGTGGTGCACACCTTTAATCATAGCACTTGGGAGGTAGAGGCAGGTGGATCTCAGAGTTTGAGCCCAGCTTGGTCTGCTAAGCGAGTTCCAGGGCAAGCTCCAAAGCTACAGAGAAAATTTGTCTTGAAAAACAAAACAAAACAAAAAAAAGAAGAAAAGAAAAGAAAGAAAATAAGGAGGAAGGGAGGGAGAGAGAGAGAGAGAGAGAGAGAGAGAGAGAGAGAGAGAGAGAGA